CAGCCATGAAATTAAAAGACACTTACTCCTTGGAAGGAAAGTTATGACCAACCTAGATGGCATATTAAAGAGCAGAGACATTACTTTGCCAACAAAGATCTGTCTAGTCACGGCTGTGGTTTTTCCAGTGGTCATGTATGGATGTGAGAGTTGGACTGTTAAGAAAGCTGAGCGCCGAAAAATTGATGCTTTTGAACTGTGATGTTGGAGAAGACTCGAGAGCCCCTTGGACTGCAAGGAGATCCAACCAGTCCATCCTAAAGAAGATCAGTCCTGGGTGTTCATTGAAAGGACTGATGCTGAAGATGAACTCCAATACTTTGGCCACCTCACACGAAGAGCTGACTCATTGAAAAAGACCCTGATGCTGGGAGGGACTGGGGGCAGGAGGAGAAGGTGACAACAGAGGATGAAATGGCTGGATATCATCACTGACTCAATGGACATGAGTTTGAGTAAACTCCGGGATTTGGTGATGGACAGGGAGGCCTGGCGTGCTGTGATTCATAGGGTCACAAGGAGTCGGACACGACTGAGAGACTGAACTGCACTGAACTGAAGAGCCCTCCAGCCTAAAGCAAGGAGGCACCAAACACAGCAAACTAAATAAAATGAAAAGATGAGAAATATACAGGAGGTGAAGGACATATTAAAAACTCGCTAGACCAAACAAACGAAGAGGAGACAGGGAGTCTATCAGAGAATTCAGAACACTGATAGTAAAGATCATACAAAATCTTGAAACAAAATGAAGGCAGGGGTAAAAGCAAATCACTACAAAAGGTCATCAAACAACAATGAAAGAAAGCTAGAGAGGAAGAGGACAACACCTGCAAAATATACAGAAGACAATTAACAGTAACAGTAATACCTACTGATCGATAAATAAGATAAATGGATTAAACAGTGGTTGAATGGTTTAAAAAAGAAAAAAATAAAAAAGACCCAACTTGAAGTTATCTACAAGAAACTCATTTTAGATTTAAAGACACATATAGGCTCAAAATGAAGGGATGAAAAAAGATACTCCATGCATGTAAATAGTAAGCAAAAGAAAGCAGGGGTGGCTACTCATATAAAAGAGAAAATAGATATTAAGTCCAAAATTGTCTCCATAGAAAAAGAACATTTCTGTATTTTAATAAAAGAGTCACTTCAACAGGAAGATATAAAAATCATATATGCATACAGCATCAGAGCCCATAAAGGTATAAAGCAAAAACTGGAATAAAAGAAAAAAAGTGATTGCATAAAATGGCCGTAAGGAACTTCAATTATCCACTCAAAGAAATGGATAGAAAATCAATAAATAAACACGCCTTGAAAACACTATAGATCACATGCTCCTTACAGACATATTTAAACATACCACCAAGCAGCAGCACATATACATTCAAATACACAAGCAACATTCTCCAGGATACTTAATAGGCCACAGTCAAGTTTTAACAAATTTAAATAATTTGTTTTTGAAATTACTATTTCAAAATAATTATTAATTAATTAATAATTAACAAATTTGAAATAATTTAGGTATCTTTTCTGACCACAGTAAGATGAAATAAATCCCTTAAGAGCAAGAAAACAGGAAAATTGAAAAATATTCGGAAACTAAACCATACACTCTTTTCCCCACTTCCGGTTTTATTGAGGCTTAACTGACATTGACCACTGCATAATTTTAAGACGTACAGCATAATGATTTGACTTACATACATCAGGAAATGTTTATCATAAGAAGGTTAGTGAACATCATATCGTATGGATACAAAATAAAAATAAAAGAAAAAAATGTTTCTTTTATGATGAGAACTCTTAGGATTTACTTTCTTAACCCTCATATATAAAACACACCAACTTTAATTATATTTATCATGCTGTACAAAACCTTTTTTAAAAAAAAATTGGGTGAAAGATAAAATCAAAGGGAAAATGAAAAAGTATATTGAGACAAACTAAAATGAAACACAACACACTAAGACTTATGGGATGAACCAAAAGCAAAACTACAGGAGATGTTCATAATGATAAATGCATACTTTAAAATGTAAGAAAAACTTCAAATAAAAAATTTAATTTTATGCCTCAAGGAACTGTAGAAAATGAAAACACTCATCTCACATTTAGCAGAAGGAATGAGACAACAGAAAAATAATAGAAAATATAAACAAAACTAAGTAGTGTTTTCTGGAAAACATTAATGTGACATACTGTTAGTTAGATTAAGATGAAAGAGAGACAAATCAATAAAATCAGAAATTAAAAAGGAGGCAATACAAATGATGCCTCAGTAATAAAAGAATCATTAGAGTCTATCATAAATAATTATGTCAACAAATTAGATAACCTAGAAGAAACAGATAAATTCCTAGAAACATACAACCTATTAACACTGAATTGAGACAAAATAGAAAGTCTGAACAGACCAATAACAAATAAGGAGACAGAATCAATAATATAAAAATAAAGAAAATTCAGGACCATATGGCTTCATTGGTAAGTTATACACAACATTTAAAGAATTCATACCAATCCTTTTCAAAGTTCTCCAAAAAAAGTGGAGAGCAGGGAACAGTTTTAAATTAAGTCTACAAGGCCAGCATTACCTTGATATCAAAGTCAGAAAGAAACATTACAGGGAGATTATAGGTCAATATCTGGAATGAGCACAGATTCAAAAATCCTCAAAAAAATATTAGCAAAGCTAATTCAAGAATTAATTAGAAGGATCCTACTCCATGATTAAATGTGATTTATTCATGGGATGCAAGGATGGTTCAAAATAACACAAATCAATCAACATAATACACTGCATTGACAAAATGGCGAAAAATTCATGATCATCTCAATAGACGCAGAAAAGGATTTGACAATATTCAACATTCTTTCATGACAAAAACTCTCAGCAAATTGGCTACAGAAGGATCGCACCTCAACACAATAGTGGCACATATGGAAAGATCACAGCAAACATATTACTCAACAGTGAAAAACTGAAAGCTTTCGCTCTAATATCAGGAAGAAGGCAAAAATGCCCACACCCACCACGTTTATTCAACATAGCACTGAAAGTCCGAGCCAGAGGACTTAGGCAAGACGAAGCAATAAAATGCATTAAAACCAGAAAGGAAGAAGTCAAATTGCCTCCATTTGCAGATGACATGATCATATATGTAGAAAATCCTAAGGTTTCAAAAACAACAACAGTGACAACGGTAACAGAAACCATCAGAACTCATAAATTAATTTAGCAAAGTTGCAGGATATAAAATCAGCATATAGAAGTCATTATATAAAAGCAATGAACTATCCCAAAAAGGGTATTAAGGAAAAAACACCATNCATACAAATCCCCAAATTCATGGGTGAAGCATGTAAAAATAGCCCTCAAACATCAAACACCTAATCACCAACTACTTGATGCCTGTGTTACAATCTTGACACCCTCCAAATACAACAGTCACCCTTACACACTCTCACCAGAATAGAGACATGAACTCCCCTCAATCACAAATATCCACAGACAAAACCACCTACACGCTGGACAATCAGACTCCCATCAACAATTAATAGGTACAAACCCCATCTATGCTTGCAAATCAATCATGTTTTGACATCAGACTACAAATAGATGTCTGCTACTTCATCATGGACAAGAGTGTCCTTTGAACATATGTGTTGACTGATATTTTCACGTTAAATAGGAAGACATCTGTGAAACTATGAGCATGTATGTTAGATCTTCACTCACTTTCCACTCATTTCCCAATGACCTGCGCTACTTCTTGCAATGAGCGCTCTCAAGTAGAAGAAATTCCCTCTAGCTTTTGTACTCAGAAGGCACGGGCTGGAATGGCACCTGTTTAACTGCTCTCAGGATTTCGCCTCCACTGCAGGCCCTGCAGCCGGGGAAGCATTCTTGCAGCCTGCTGCCCACAGACGCCAATGACCCTGGTGTGAGCACCGCCAGGGAACTGAGCGCTATAGGGGAGTCTCCCTACTCTGACAAGGGCACAGGTGTCCCCAGGGTGAAACGGACCACCTGGGGGCTGAAGAGTCGGTGTCTCCCTTACCTCAAGTAACTCACAGTTCCTGTGTTTGATTCTAGAGGCTGCCAGGAGAGGCCGCCCGCGCCCAAGCCAGGCTGGCCTTTGGGGCTCCGCCCTCCCTATTGCAGCGAGAGCTCGTCTTCCTGAGGGCACAGCCTTAACCGACGCCAGGAGCAGCTGTTGGACAACGGCCTTCAGCCTGCCCACAGTGGGCGTGCGCATGCGCATGCGTGAAGACACGGGTCCGGGGGGACGGGCGCACACGCAGCTGTCCCAGGAGGTCGCTGCAGGAGCTGAGAGAAATGGAGGGTCCGGGCACGCTGGGGAGCTTCTCTGTCCATGAATTCTCACCGGGAACCTTTGTAGCACTCTCTTATTAAATCCAGCTCTTGTGAGATGCGCACCGGTGATTTTTACATTGCGCACGTGAAATCCATACAAGGTTTTTGGAGACCGCCACCCTAAGCACAATATCCTTAAATTGGGAAAGTGTTTTCACGCCCTTTCATGCCTTTTCTTGTCCTTGGACTGCAGTTCAGTGATTCTTGTTTATGTCTGTCAAAAACCAGTAGTCCTTTTCCCTAGTAGGTCAAAAGTTTCTGTTAAAGAACAATTCTAGCAAAGAATTTCAGATCTGGGAAATGCTCTGAGATACTGTCTGCTGACTCCATTCCTATATTTTCCAAATGCATTCACTCTACTAGAGTATTTTTTCTTATTATTTATTTACTACATGGAGGTTCTTCAGTAAATGTTGATTCTCAGATGTTTCCTTGCAAGGTTATTTTTATATCAATAACTTTGATCAAGACTTGAAAATTCAGGTCAGTTTCAGTTGACATAGCAGTAGCATGGGAATAATTATATGCTCACTTCCATTTATATTATATATTGGAGAACTTAAGCTGCTCAATCTTTAAAAAAAAAGAAATAGTAGCAGAATCAACTTATTGATTTGGGTTAGTAGTACTTTACAAAGAAGTCTCAGTCATCAGATTCTCTTAGTGATCATTTCCAAAATTAGTACCATTTCTACTCTACAGGATACCTCTTAAAACCCGTCATATCTAGCAATACTGAGAGCCTCCAAGCACACAGGTTGAAAGCTACAAGACATAAGCATGGGATCCCACTGTACTTCTAATGTTCCATGCTTCAGTAGAATACGATCAGTCATCTAAGGTCTGTGATCCATAACCGTAGATTTTTTTCTCAGCAAACAATACCTGCCCCCCACCTTTCTGCACAAATATTCAGAGATCATGGTCTAAAGGACTTTTGCTACTCCCTTCTGTTGCCTGTCTCCCCAAATTACTTCTGGACTGATTTAATTACATCTGCCTCTGTGGTCTAAGATTTTGATGGAGTACAAAATGATTGTAGATGTGAGATGGGATATTTTTTTCCACAAATCAATTTGTATGTCAGTGGCCCTGGGAAGGCCCATTCAAACTCTACTCAGAGCCATGAATGAGACTCTTTTAACAACTGATTGACAGAGCCAGGGGAAGAATTAACGAGAGAACCTACCTTTCTGGAGTGCCAGGGTACAATATTTTACCTCCCCATTCCTCTAGTGTGAAGTTACAGGTTAAAAGTGATTTCATCTTTTCCCCTGAGAAAGGCTCAAATAGTGAGAAATGTCTCCAAGTTGTTAATTTCTTCAACCCTTAACAGTTTGATTGTTGTTCTGTTCTGTTTTGTTTTGTTTTAAATAAAGTTTACTGTGATTTTTCCTTAAATTGCTCTCACATCATCTTCTCAACTGAGGTTAAGGGAGAGTGCACAGAGTAGCTAACCCAGAGAATAAAAAATAAAAAGTTAGGTGCCTGTAAGATAATTTTGTACTGAAGAGCATTAAAGGCCTGGGAAACATGCAGATGGACAAGCCATTCCCTTCCAGTGACTGGTAAAACCCTCTGAAAATATCAAATATATGTATCATTGAAATCTTTCAAATTTAGACATGGGAAAAAAGTTAGAAATAATGAGGAATTGGGCATGAGTTAAGGACAATTTCCTACACAATTGTAACAAAGAAGAGGAAAAAAACCCGAGTTCTGAATTCCCAATTCTCTATCTTTCTTTTTCAATATGGCCACAGTTAACTTTTCATACAAGTCTGACCTTTTGAGGCTTTTCTTTGTCTTTCATTATTTTTTTTTTAATAGGAGTAAAAAACTTTTTAAGCAGAAAGAAAAACTTGTGTCCCAAGGGACTCAACTGCACTTTTAAAGTTTTACAAACGTTAAAAAGCAATTAAATGGAAAAAGAATGAGTTTTTAATGAATATTAAAATTAACTCAAAATGCAACGTAGATTTAAATGTAAAATTTCAAATTTTGAAGCATTTTTTTTAAAAGGAGAAAATCTTTGGGTCCTAGGGCTTAGTGAAGGTTTTTTACACATTGAGAGCAAAAACATTATTCATAAAAGAGAAAAAACTGGATTTTATGAAAATTCTATGGTTTCCCAAACGAAAGACTCTGTTAAGAATGAGAAGCAGCTATGAGTTTGGAGAAATTATTTGCAAGTCACACATCTGACCAAAGTCTTAGAGTGTATAAAAGACTATCAGAACTCAATAAAAATAGGAACAATTCAATTAGAAAATGTGGAAAAGATATGAAGAGACATTTCACCAAAAGAGGACATCTGTTTGACAAGTAAATCATGAAAAGATGTTCAAAACCCCTGGTCTTTAATGAAACTCAAATTAGGAACACAATGAGAATAATCATATGTTGATTTACAACAGCTAAAATGAAAACTAAATTTATTGTTAGTGAGTATGCCAAGAAACTAGATTTCTCATACTGCTGCTAATGGAAGTGTAAAATGATACAGTTGTGCTGAAAAGAAGTTTGGCTATTTCTTAAAAAAAACTAAATATATACTTAACCATATGGTCCAGCAATTGCATCCCTGGCTGTTTACTCCAGGAAAATGAACACAGGGTAACAGGCATCTGAGTACAGTCTGCAGGAGTACAAGAAACAAAGATATTCAAGTTCTGTAAGAAAGATCAAGATTTGAATTCCTGTTCCCACTAATTCCTACTTATGTCACCTCTGAAAAACTGCTTAACCCTGCTAGGCTTCAGTTTATCTTTAAAAAGCAGCTAAACCAAGATGATAATGCTGAGCACTAAGTCAGTTTCAGGCAATGGGGAACTGGCTGGGCTGGAGCTGACATTTGCTCCATCTGTTATGTGGATATGGTATGTGTTGGAATCCCCTGGTTAGAGGTCTAAGGACAACCAGGAGAAGCAGAAAAACATCTAACTCCAGAGATAAGATGTAGGAAGGCCAGGCTCCAGGGCACAGGCAGCCTGGGGCTGCTGGGGTTGGGAGGAAAATAAGAACTTAGGACCAGTGGAGCGGCTGCTAGTGCAGCCGAACTGCCTGAGCTCCCCTGACCTTCTGGAGAATGTGTGTGGACCACACGGCGTCTCAGTAGCTCCCTGACTCCGGGGCCCTAGGCAGTCATGCCTGAGGGCCCATACCTGAGTTCACCACCAAGGGAGGGAATGCTAGTCTTCCCCCTTCCAGAAGCCACTGGGCTTAAGGGTTGATGCTGGTGGTGGACACATGGCTAAGCATGGTGGCATCTCAGTGGTAGAACCCCAGCCAGATGCAGGGACTGTGGAAATGTGTGGACGCTTGTTAGACACTCTCTGGAGGCCTTCCAAGCTCCTCTTGGGGAGGGAGTTCCTGTGAAAATTCCTGGCTCCAGACATGGGATCCGTGTGGGAGTGCTTGCGAGTCCATTTGTGGTTGTCTGTCAGTGGGAGTCCAGGATATGTGGGCAATGCCAGGATTGCAAAGAACTTGGCCTGAATCTTTTGAATAGTATCTAGTCCATATCGGGTATGTGCTAAAGGGAAAATTTACCATATTATCATGGATCCTAAAGGCTGGGGTGGGTGCATTGTGAGGCCTCCTGGGATGCGGCGGGTTACACAAGGACTCTGTGTCAGGTAGACTGGCAGGAAGGATGATGAGAACATTGCTTCAAGGCTTATTGGCAGGCCACTAAGTTCTGAGTCAGCTAAGCAGAAAGAAGACACTAGGCTCCTACTGCTGAGATGTGTGGACACTTGGGACAGGCTGGCCTGGGTCTCTGGCCAGAAGAGAGCAGTTTCATGTGGGGCTGAGGGCCAGGAAGGTGGGCAGTGAGTTTGGGACCATGGACTCCAGAGATAAGATGTAGGAAGGCCAGGCTCCAGGGCACAGGCAGCCTGGGGCTGCTGGGGTTGGGAGGAAAATAAGAACTTAGGACCAGTGGAGCGGCTGCTAGTGCAGCCGAACTGCCTGAGCTCCCCTGACCTTCTGGAGAATGTGTGTGGACCACACGGCGTCTCAGTAGCTCCCTGACTCCGGGGCCCTAGGCAGTCATGCCTGAGGGCCCATACCTGAGTTCACCACCAAGGAAGGGAATGCTAGTCTTCCCCCTTCCAGAAGCCACTGGGCTTAAGGGTTGATGCTGGTGGTGGACACATGGCTAAGCATGGTGGCATCTCAGTGGTAGAACCCCAGCCAGATGCAGGGACTGTGGAAATGTGTGGACGCTTGTTAGACACTCTCTGGAGGCCTTCCAAGCTCCTCTTGGGGAGGGAGTTCCTGTGAAAATTCCTGGCTCCAGACATGGGATCCGTGTGGGAGTGCTTGCGAGTCCATTTGTGGTTGTCTGTCAGTGGGAGTCCAGGATATGTGGGCAATGCCAGGATTGCAAAGAACTTGGCCTGAATCTTTTGAATAGTATCTAGTCCATATCGGGTATGTGCTAAAGGGAAAATTTACCATATTATCATGGATCCTAAAGGCTGGGGTGGGTGCATTGTGAGGCCTCCTGGGATGCGGCGGGTTACACAAGGACTCTGTGTCAGGTAGACTGGCAGGAAGGATGATGAGAACATTGCTTCAAGGCTTATTGGCAGGCCACTAAGTTCTGAGTCAGCTAAGCAGAAAGAAGACACTAGGCTCCTACTGCTGAGATGTGTGGACACTTGGGACAGGCTGGCCTGGGTCTCTGGCCAGAAGAGAGCAGTTTCATGTGGGGCTGAGGGCCAGGAAGGTGGGCAGTGAGTTTGGGACCATGGGCGTAGGTGAGGGACCGTGGTGTGGGTGAGGGACTGTGGGGGTGGGTGAGGGATCTGTGGGGGTAAGTGAGGGAACGTGGGGGCGGGTGAGGGACCGTGGGGGCGGGTGAGGGGTGAGTGGATCCATGAGGGAACATGGGGTGGGTGAGGGATCCATGGGGTCTGAAAGGGATCATAGGGTTGGTGAGGGATCATGGGGGTGGGTGAGGAATGGCTGGGAGTCAATTCTAGGAGCAGAGGTGTGAGGACTGCCAGACTGGACCTCAGCTCACAGCCTGGCAAGGGTGCCCTTTCTGTATCTCCCACTGTGGGCCAGACCCCCCACATGCAAGAGCCTTCTGTGCTGTAGGCGGGAACCCCCTTCCTCATGGCCTGGGTCAAGTACTCCAGTCCAGCTCAAGTGTCCTGGATGCAGGGATCATCGCCCTACCTCCACAGGGAGTAGGTCATCCCTTCTCCAAACCCAGGGAGTGATGATGCTTTACTTTGAGAAAGACTCTTATTCCCCTGCAATATAGACACCTGATAATATGTCTTACTTCCTATTACAGGCTGAATTCTGACACCCCCACCCCCAGTTCTTCGGCTGAGATGGTAAAGAATCTGCCTGCAATGCGGGAGACCCAGATTTGATCCTGGGGTTGGGAAGATCCCCTGGATCAGGGAATGGCAACCTACACCAGTATTCTTGCCTGCAGAACTCCATGGACAGAGGAGCCTGGCAGGCTATATACTCCATGAGGTCACAAAGAGTCCAACATGACTGAGCAACTAACACACACAAAATTCTTATGTTGAGTCCTAACCTCCAGCACTTCAGAATGTGACTTTCTTTAGTCTTCACAGTCCCGCAGGTGGGTTCTTGGCTCTTTAACAAGAGACTGAACCCATGCCCTCTGCAGAGGAAGCCTGGTGTCTTAACCACTGCACAACCAGAGAAGTCCCCAAAGGTGACTTTATTTGGAGTAAAGCTTTTAAAGAGATAATTGAGCTAAAATAAAGTCACTAGGTTGGGTCCTAATCCAATACGACTGGTGCCCTTACAAGAAGGGGAAATGTGGACACAAACACACAGAGAGAAGACGATGTGAGCACACAGGGTGAAGGTGGCTGTCTATAAGCTAAGGTGAGGCCTCAGACTTCTGGGCTCCGGAACTGTGATAGATTCCTGTTGTCTAAGCCACATTGCCTGTGATATTTGTTACGGTAGCTGGAGCTGACTTGATGTTCTTCCTCTGAGGCCTGTGCATTCCCACGGTAGGAAGCCTCCCTTCTCTCTCCCCAGCTGGCCTCCAGTGTCCCCACCCCTGCCCTCCTCCTGCTGTAATGTTCCTGCCCATTCCTATTCCCTTGTCCCGGAGGTCAGATGACAGATGTCAAGTGAAGTGAAGGGGTGCGTGCTGAGAGTCAGGAGGAGCAATAGGGCCAAAGACAGGATCAGGATGAGTCTTTCGCTTGTGTTTACTTGGTTTTTCAAGATTGTGGGGGTCACAGCTGGTGGATGGGGAAACCAAGAAAGGACCCCTGAGAGCTGATGGGGCCGGGGGAAAGGAGGGAGGAAGGTTCCAGTGAGCAGGCTGGGTCCTGGGGCACACCGCTGCAGCTGAGGGGCTTGGTGGATCACTACAGGATGTGTCTCAGGGCCCCGAGCAGGAACAACGCCAAGGGCCAGGTCTGCGGAGGCACAACGGCTGTGCCCGGCATGGAGGAGCCAGCAGCCAGCAGAGACTGGTGTGGAACCTGGGTCTGTGGAGGAGGGGATGTGGGCGCAGGGTGGGGCATAAGAGTGGACACAGGGGCCTAGGCTGTGCTGCCTTATTTTAGGGTAGCCACTTACCCTTTATGGGACCTTTTTGCTCACCTATGAAACAGGGAAAAACAGAGTGTAAAGAAATCATCAAAATTCAAATATCCAACAGTGG